AGTTTTTGCTGTCTTTCAGCCTTTTCAATTTCGATGCCTTTTATGGACATGTTAGAGTCGGAACAGATGAGACGGACACACACACACACGCACACTACAAAGTAAAGTATTTTACAGTGCGATTATCCTTGTTCGTCCTTCTATCACCAGCTTAAATTGACTTGTTCGTTGTGCTTAGTGAACCACTCAGACTGGGAGCCATACAGCCAGATTGCCAGGATTGCTAGGATTGCCAGCTAAATAACTTTATGTTCGGATTTCGCGACGATAACAGATCAGTCAGCACTCAAGCCAAAGCGCAGGACATATATAAAGCGGGTTAAAGTTCGTAGTTGCAGAGAGCTGGACTCAGTGGCCCGCTTTAGTATCCTGGATAAGTAGCCTCACTCGTTCGCTCACTCTTCCTCTAGTCGTTGCGGCATAATTAATGCCCTCGAACGGCTGACGTTGTAAGTGCGTTGTGCTGCCGGAAATTCAATAAAGCCGCTCCTCTTCCGGCAGTCGAGTTTACGCTTAAGCGCAAACGTCAACAAGCTCCGGCCGGCTGGTTGGGTCCTTTACTCGACGCGTTGGTCAACAAGCGTCGCGCACGGGTCAGTCCAAAGCCCACGCCGTAGGCGGATGCAAAGTGCAAACTTCAAAGTGACGCGCAAAGGACACTACTAATTCAATTAAGTCCGTGCCCGTAGCAGCCATTGAGCAAGCAGCCGACTCAACGCAGAGCTTTGCAAGTACGTACTAAATACTGTCCGCCGTCTGGCCGCCGTCCGAGCCCCACATAAGAGGCTTAACTGCTGCTGTTTCGCAAACACAAATTGATAAACCGCCCGAGAGCAAGTCATAGGGCAAATACTAATTGTAAATATTGTGACAACTTCCACCGAGGGCCAAGCCAGTTCTGGGAATTCAATGTGAACTCGGGGCAGTGCCTGTGTCTGTGTCTGCGATGACAACTGATCAATCCTCAGATTGAAGAAGAAACTGTAAAATATCTCAGCTAAAATCCCTTCCAGTTGGATAGATGTTGACAATGCATTTATCAACAACTACTGCAAGTTGTGTCAAGGACTAGGACGGTGGCACTTAATTAGCTATCGAACTAGTTCTGCCGTAGACCTCGTTGTATATTTTATGTTTAATGAATGTCGTACAGACAATTTACAGCGTTGCAACAATAAATAAGAGCGGCCAAAGGACGTCACGGGATGGTTATTTTATTGTGCTTCTAAATATACACATGTCACAGGCGAAGGACAAGGACGAAGGACGACTATTGCTGGTTTAGTTCGTGTCATGTCTGATTGACTTTGGGTCAAAAAAAGAGGGATATGTTTTCTAATTGCCTTGCTACAAATTACATCAATTTGATGTACAGAAAACATGTGGAATAATTTAGTTTAGTTTAAATTAGAAATGAATAGAGTCCAGAGTCCGAAGTAGATGAAGTTTTTAGCGGGCGTGAGTTGGTGGAGAGAAAAGCAAATGAGAGTTTCCCCTGCAACTTCAAACGGAAACCAATGTAATTTACTTCTAATTCTAAAATGGCGGAAGGTAATATGTTTATGTGAAATTAAACAAAAGTAAAAGTTTAATCAGCTGCGCTTTGATTAACAGTGAGGGAATCAGAAGGGAGGGCATGGGTGAATGATATTTAAGTAGTGGAGATGTTAAGTCTATCGATAGTATAGAAGGAACTTTATTATAGCGTTAGGCTTATAGATTTTTCTTTTTTTTTATACCCTGAACCCATTGAAAATGGGAAATCAGGGTATAATGGTTTTGTGAAAAAGTATGTAACGGGCAGAAGGAGGCGTGGCAGACCCCACAAAGTATATATATTCTTGATCAGCGTGACGAGCTGAGTCGATATAGCCCTGTCCGTCTGTCCGTCCGTCCGTCCGTCCGTCCGTCCGTCCGTCCGTCCGTCCGTCCGTCCGTATGAGTGCGTCGATCTCAGAAGTTATAAGAGCTAGAGAGCTGAAATTTGGCATGCATACTCGTGTGTACCATACGCAGTACGAGTTTGCTTTATTTTTTCGATAAATCGTCCGATAACTTTTTTATCGAGAATAATCGAAAAATTGATTTTGTTTTTTTAGCCTAATTTGAACATTTTTAGACCTGGAGTCTTCAAATTTGCGTTGTATATAAAGTTAATCGATACAAAGATTTTGTAATTTACAGATTTTGGATACCACGCCCCCTTCTCCCCCAATTTGTAAAAAACGCATTTCAAGTACTAGAGACTTGTGCTTTGGAATGTACACACATATTTACCATATGATTACACTCTGAAAGTTTCATTAAGATCATATGTTTACAAAAGAAATTATTCGACAAATAAATTCTCATAATATTGCCCACACTGCAGCGCAGCCCAAGCGCAGTCGCTGCTTACTGCGCAGTTAGCAGAGCGCAGGCTTATGCGTGCGTGTGGATGCATGTGTATGTATGTGTGCATAAAAGAAGTGCAGAATGATTAGAATATCAGCTTGGAGGGNAAGCAGTCTTCACTTTTACACAACTTTCTTTTATATATATAGATATAATATATATAATTTATTGTTGAAATCTCTTAAAGCTTAATAAAATATGATTTTAATTGTCTAGCTGAGTCGGAGCATAAATATTTGTGACTGAATAGTTTTAATATTTGGAATCATTTAGGTCACAATAACAAATTCCGTAGCAAAAGAAAATTAATAAAAAAATATTTAATTCAAATTAATTTAAAAAAATAAATTGATTTTAAAAGATCTTTTTTTAGGTTTGACCATCGATAAGAGAAGAGTCGGCCATCAATACATCAGCAAATACAAGAAAATAACATTCTTTATGCTCTATAAATGAATTAAATGTGAATTGGTAATATTTTTATAAAAATCTATAAACACCTTTCGAGCAAGGGCCGTGGTGAGCAAGGGAAGAGAAACTCACTGACTTAACCCAAATATATACCAGATATAACAATATCTATTCCTGTTGCTATGTGAAACATAAAGCTATCAAAATAAATTAACACATCTTGGACAGCAGCTAAAAATCTCCGCATAGTTCCATCAATCAAGATCACGTCAAAATGGGGAGTGCCAGAAAATAGTGTCTTCAAAATGCTACCTCATGCTCAGCCCTAATTGATGGATTGATGGAGGGAATTCGCGACTTTTCTCTGTTGGCGAGATTTCGCTTAATGTCCAGTTTTTCGGTTCATCGGTGAGCTGGCATCTCGATTGGCATAAATAATTTGCATGCCATTGAGATTGGCAGCTGACAGCTGGCGGAGGGGGCGGGACTTAAGCTGGCATTTGGCCAGGTGCACAGTTGTTGTTTGCTCAACAAATTAAAGTTAATGCGGCTCAGCAATAAGTCCTCCTGCCAGGGACCACTCCAATCCTTTCCAGCCAACTGGAAGCGCCAATCCCCTGCTTAGACACAATGTGACGACAACTGTCAGCATTTAAATAAGATTGATCGATTGGCATTGTCATTGTGATTGTTGCTAACGTTGTTTTCTCTTTTTTTTTTTTTATTGCTGCTGCTGCGAGAAGCTGTTGATTTTCACGTATTTTCATTTGCATAGAACAGATTCTGCCACCAGCTGTGGACAGTGCACAGTGCTACGGAAAATTGTAACAGGCTTCAAAATAAATTTTACAGCCGATGGAACTTTGTATCTATATATTTATCTACAGCAAATAAATATACCTTTGTATATATGTACATATATGTATATATGTTTAAATAATATTTAAGCTAAAATAGAAATGGATAATGCATATATATGCATATATTTATCTACAGCAAATAAATATACCTTTGTATATATGTACATATATGTATATATGTTTAGATATTATTTAAGCTAAAATAGAAATGGATAATGCATATATGTGTATAGATAGATAGAATAGATAGTGTTTAAGTAATGGCGGTTCATATTCAACAGTTAAAAAGCCTATTCTCACATCTCTTAGTATAACAGAAATTTAAAAAGCTATTCTTAATAATTCTTAAATAAAAATTCTTAAGCAATAGTAAATTATGTAGAAAACATTTTAAAGAATTTTGATAATAATTAGTTAAGAACTTAATAATTTCTAACTAAAACTAAATCAAGCTCAATTAATTTTTAAAAATTGTGTGGCTCTTGATAAAATTTTTTTAAAGAAGTTCAATAATTAATAATAATTATAAAACAAGCTAAATAGTTTTTAAGAAATTTTTTCGCTCTTGACAATAATTCGTAAAAAAAGAATTTATATAAAGGCTTTATTTCTTAACCAAAATGGCTAACTTAAATATAAGTCTTCGTTTTTAAATTATTTTAATGATAATAATTCGTATAGAGGATTATTTAATGACTTTATTTCTTAAGCTAAATGGCCAGCTGAAATTTAAATTTTCATGTGAAAATCATAAATTTTATATGTTATTGAGAAAAAGATCTTTACATATTTAACAACACCCTGAAAACCTTTACAATGCATGTCTTATCCCTTTAGCCTTTGTTTTTCGCAATTATTTAACAAAATTTGCAAAGCCTTAGGTTAAAGCTTTGGTTCACGCTAAATTTATCACAATCCACACAACAGATTGAACAATAGAAGTCGAGCCAAGAGCAACTCTTAGTTAAGCTTCAATTTGCCGGAGTAGCTTTCTGTCCGTGTGTTAACTCTTTCAATTAGGTAAACAATAAGCTGACACAGGACTAGGAACATTTAACCTGTCCTTTGTTCCATTTGTTATACTTAGAGCAGACTGAGCTGAGGAACGACGATTTTGGCCACTGTGTGCCTGGCTAGCTGCTGCTGTGCAATTGTGCGGCACAAATTGTTGGCACTTCCGTTTAGGCTTTGGGAGTCCAGCTTGTTTACGGCCAACCAGCGGGCAGTGGCTAACGAGTGTGAGCTTTGCCACTAGGGGTGCATAACAAATCATTTAACGGCTGTCATTCAGCCCTCTGGCAATTGGCTATAAAAATTCCAGAGTTCCTTGCTGAACGCATCAGTGAACCGTCAGCCGTAACGCGTCGCGCATTCGACTCTAGCTCAAGTCCAGCAACTAGTTGTCCAGTGCCATATCGTGTGTTTCTTGTGGCGCTCATAATAAGGAAGGAAACGCAGCCCAACCAGCCTGTGACCCCCCAACCCCCCGAGGACTCCGCAACGCTCCAGCCATGTACAGACTAAGTAATTGCACATTGCTGCTAATCGCAGTATCCTGTTACCTGGTCTACGCCAGCCAAGCGAAGGCTCTGCAGGTGAGTGTGCAGCGGGTTCGCCAAAAGGTTGAACCACCGAGGCTTGACAAGCACCACTTGATAAGTTTTATTAGCCGGCGAAACACGCAAACACAGCTGCCAAAGCGAAAATAGACTCGCCTCAAGCATCGAAACTCTATGCAAAAAACTTTGCAATCCATCTCTCTCTTCCTCCCTCTCGCTCTCTCTGTCCTTATCTGTTGTCAGATGCGTTTCTGTGGCTGATTTTCGGTTAGAGGCAGTTATGCAGTTGCATCTTCAGCCAATTTCCCCACCTGTCAGTGCCCAATTTCCGCATCGCTAATTGTGCGCCAGGCAATGTCAAGCGATTGCCATTAATTAATATCTCATAATTGGCCATCAATTTCAAGCGTAATTATATTTCCAACTTTCTGACATCAATTTCAATCATTCCATAAAACAGTTATAGATTGCATGATTCGATTAAACTATTTGCCAAAATGTATATATGTATGGAATTTATATATGCATATAGTTGCATCTTGAAAACAAGTTGGAATTTGTACGTGAGATACAGTTATTGCCCTCAAACATTTGCTTATTGGGTAATAATTTAGTTTAGACTCATGTGTCGTGATTTTTAAGGGAACACAGTAATATTACTACAAGCATACAGTTACAGAGTGGAATATGTATGTATATTACATATTAAGTATATTATAAAATTCTAAGCAAACTCATTTAAGGGATTATCAAAAGAAGATGATGGATGATGCTTTGTTTTAATAACCATAGAAACTGATCACGATTGTGGTGTATATCCCAAAGAGTCGATTTGCAAGAGCTGTGTTCTCGTTGTAGCTAATAGTATAGCTACTACAGCTGAGCAGCAGTGAAATTAGGCAATTGGGTTTGAGTAAATGATCCAGCAACCGAAGCCGCCTCAAGTTGGACCTTAACATATTTTACTTTGATATAGGACAAGTTGTCTCGATTGTTAGTCGAGGTGAGGGATTACTTTAATATTGGGATGAAAACTGAGAAAAGTAATTAACTCTTATTAAGTCAAGGCTTCCTCTGGTGATTGCGTGGCATTGCTAGTCTGTCAAGTCAAGAATGGATGCTTCTGTTTATCTGTCGTCTCTGATCAGGAATACTCCGAAAATGTTAGTTAGTGCAGTATTGCGTATATACGCAGCAGTACTGACACATCAATGGACGGTGGTCTGTGTGCTCTGTACTTAGCTGAAATATCTCTTGTTGATGATGAAACACAAATAACAATTTGAATAGAAACACTTGAAGGTATGCCTGCACATCATATTCTATTTCAGTTGACTTGGTTGTCTGAGGATTGCCAAAATATTTAGCTGTTGACTAAATTCAATTGCAGTTTTGTTTAAGTGCGGGGCAGCGTCAGCTGGCGGGTAATACATCTGGTTTATTGTGTTTGCGTTTATGGCCAAGATGCGATTTACAAGCCGATTTAAGGTGTTGGCATTTCAATTCACATTGAGTTGTCTAATCAAGCGTAGCGCGCCGCTGCCTGTCATGCTGTAAATTGAAACAATAAAGTGCTCGACTCACACATAATACCCACTCACGCCACTCACGCACACACACGCACACCCGTTGAGACTTTGAGTGCGTTGTGTGTGTGCAGCTCACGTATGCGCATAAATAGGCGGCATAAAAATAACTTAACACGTGTCGACAGTTTCACTGAGTGAGAGAGGAAGGGAGAGAGAGAGAGAGAGAGGGGGACGATATTGAAAGCCTTGCTGCTGCCGTTGCCACAGGCGCCAGGGCCTCGAATCAAATATTTCAAATATTTTTGTTGTTTTCTTTTCGGCGCTGCGGCTCTCGTGCCGCTTTGTGGCACTTCATTTGCGCAGGGCACAAACAAACTGGATTTGCCAAATCGCATCAGCGGCATCAGCGTTGGCTCTGCCGGCGCCGCAGCCGCGGCGGAAGCACGCCACAAGCGCGCAATGGGCGAATACAAAGAGCTAAACGACATCATTGACGACCTGGATGAGAACGGCCTGGTGCAGAAGGGCGGCGCCGCGGCGACAGCCTCGCAGGCTCAGGCGCAGGAATTCGACCTGGATAGCATGCCGCCGTTGGCGTACTACATGCTGCTGGAAAGACTTCGCCAGTGTGAGTATCGGGCGCACGCTGCGTATGAGTAATGCGGCCTTATGACAAGCGGCTACGAAAGCATCTCAAGCATGCTCAGCTAGGCATTACGCGTACGCTCGAGAAAATTGATTTCGTCTACAAGAGTTTCGCGTGTGACTCAAAGGCTTAATGGCAAGGACATTTGCATTATCCGACATTGCCAACTGCACGCTAGCTGACTAAAATTTAGCTGAAATTTAATCAGATTTCACTTTTTGTTTACTATGGATATTCAATATCATATCATGCTTATATAACAGTTCTCGTTTGCTTTCAAGTGCATGCAAATTTTTATTGAAGCTGAAACTGGAATTTCTCAACTGCATTTCATACGAGAATTATCACAATGTCCGTTTCATGATATTATGTGTGTGTCTGTGTGTGTGTGTTAGTGTAACTGTACTATGCTTTATTAATTCTCTCGCCTGGTCTCTTTGGTCCTGCAGGGCAGAGAAATAACGAGCAAGCATATACCAGGCGCACGCCACGCCTGGGACGCAGCATTGACTTTCAGCAGCTGCTGGACAGCCGTGGGGGCAACGAGGAGGCGGCTGGCGGGCAGTTTGTGTCGCGCATGATGAAGAAATCGGTGCCGTTCAAGCCGCGCCTGGGCAAACGTGCTCAAGTATGCGGCAGCGGCGGGGATTAGGCCATGGCAGTATCATCAGTGCGACCTGGACGAACGGCAAGGACGAAGCCCCGGACAAGGTTGAGGCCAGCCATTGGCGCTTAGCCAGCTCAAATTAAACTACTCACACAACGTCCCCAAAAACGCTAAAGCAAATAATCTACTTACTCCTACGACACTCACTTTATCCACACATATGTATATGTAAATGTATATGTATAGCTAGGCCCCGAGATATTGAGAGAAATTCGTATTCGCCACAAACTATGTGTTTAAATAAAGTGCAGACCATTGAAAACCTGATATCTGTGTTGCTTTATTTCTCGTATCGATCAAAAATTCCCAAAAACTGGAGGGAGAGAGAGAGAGAGAGGGGCAGCTGTCAATAATTGACCTCAAACTGTGAATTTTCGAGAATTTTCGTTATATGTGTTTTATTTTTGGTTTGGCAAAAGTAAATTAATGAAAAATTCATTATACGAAGTGAGAAATGGGACAACAGCTGCTGCGGCGACAGCTGCAACGCCCAGCATCACACCATCCAGCCATCCAGCCATCCAGCCATCCAGCCATTCAGCCAGTCAGCCAGTCATGTGCTCGGTGTGCTCGTAGTGGGGCTTATGACGTTTCCATAATTCGTGCTTTTTCGTTAACCAAAAGCTGGTGGCTTTATTTCAGCCTGATTAAGCACACACACACACACACACACACACACACACACAAAAATTGTATGCCGCCTGTGCAGATTGCACGTGTTTGCATACACTGTATAAATACATATAAATTTGCCAGCTCTGATTATCATTATCATTAATTGCACTCACATTAAGGCAGCTAATTGGTATGCCAGTTGATTTAATTAGCTATGAGACATACTATTAAAAAAAAAAAAAAAAAATTAAAAAAAAAAAACTAAAAAAAAAAAACAATATTTATTTCCATACTCCACTCTCGTTTAAATTTGTTAGATTCAATAATAGAATAAAGAAATATTAACTTGAATTAACTTACAAAGAGATCGCATCATGCTCATGTTTACTTCGAATTGGCTGGCATGTCTTCGATCAATCATGCCAATTCCTGGAGGATTTTTGAAAAAATGCAACAATAATTTATTGCTAGCTTAATAAGCCACTCACAGATATTTATAAAAAATATGTATTATATATACATCATGACCGAAAAAAAAGGAAATTTACTCAATATTGCGAAATATGAGTCCTTCTATGATTATTGCTATTATCAGTACAGGGCGGTCCATATTCGACGAACCCATCTGGCAGCCCTATTAGGTTGTCCATATTCGACTGACAGCCGTGTATATTCACACTTGGAATACTTAATGATTGGTATACCGTTAACTGTAGCAAAGAGAACTCTGTGCATTCATTAATAACGAATTATGATAATATAAATATGTAATACATAAAAAATACTTTATACATTACACGCTATACTTAAATGGAATTGAAGAGGCTTAAATTTATATTGAAACACAGCTCTTGTAATTGCAAAAAGAATATGAGAGGTAAACACAAATTAAATAGGTTTCTGAAAGGGAATGGGCATATAGGCTTGTAATGTAATTGAATTCACCAATTATGTAATTATCAAATTAATCTCATTATGAGCTTAAATTAAAACTGGGCTTAACACAGATCCAGTTTGTAAAAGTAGATAAAAAACCGTTGGCCTATGCTCAATTAAATGAGAAACTGATTTTGTTAAGCTGCAAGCTACTGAATGAATATATCGATTTTGGCTCACACATACACATACACATACACATACATACAGACATATGCATAGTGCGCCGTTATATAATATAATGATGCCCAAGAAAAGTGTAGCTCAAGTACCTGCACAGTCGACTAAGTATGACTGCACAGCGATTTAGTAGCTCGACTTGACAGTGCATCGGATGTGGTGGTGGGAGGTGTGGGAGGTGGGGCATGCTCACCTGCTGGGGCAGCGGCAGCTGCTTGAGTTGCGCATTTAAATGGGCGAATGTAAAACTTGTGCCATTCGCTTAAGCTTGAGCTCGAGACTTGAGGGACTAGAGATGGCTCCGCACGTGCCAATTAGTGGGATGCCAAGCCTTCCAGCTACAATCAGTTAAAGCCAAAGCCATTACAAGTTGATGTCTAGCTCAATTATGGGCCGCCATTTGGCCAGAAATGCGGGCATTAAAGGCCAACGGCTCAAATTGTATCCACTCTGTCCACGACAAATGTATGACAAATGGCGCAGACGTCACGTAGTAGTTGTCGCTCCTCAATAAATGAGCAGCCGACTCATGGAGCACCTAATAGTATTTGTATATATACGTGTATTTTCTTGAATTGCTTCTAAACTGGCGCTAATGGGCTCGCTATTCGCACAGAAACATGCCAAAAACCAAACACACACGCACGCTCGCCCGAGATATTGAAACATTACAACTGCAAAATGGTAATAAACTTGGGACTGCCTACTGGGAGAGAGAGAGAGAGAGAGAGAGAGAGAGAGAGAGAGAGAGACAAGCACACACACGCTGGGACGGAGCTGGCAGGAACTTTGCATGATGGCCGTAAATTTACAACTCGATTGTTGCGTAAGGTTAAGCAGGCCCCAAACATCAGCTGCTACTGTGCCGGCTTCCTGTCTGCTACGTGTGGTCTCACACACACACACACACACACACTTGCTCATTCGCATAGGCGTGTGTGTGTGTGTGAAACGAAATCACTTTGCCTGATTAAATGACGCAAGCCAGCAGCCAGAGCAGAGGAGAGAGCACAAGTGGCTGAGGCAGATATCCAGTTAGCATGCACCTTGCCAAAATGAATGCCAGCCATTACGGTGAATTGTTAAAAATGCCTGGCTAATATAAGACAGCTCTAGCTCCAGCTCCAGCTCCAGCTCCAGGCCGTGCATTCGACCCTTATTTATTGTATTTAAGCAGCTGATTTAAATTGATGGCCGCATTTGGCCGAGGCCCGCCAGCCAGACAGCCAGCCAGCCAGCCCGTGGCTTGGCACTCACTTAATCAAATTTCAGCCATGCAAAGAGCTTTCGAATTGGCCACATGCGTAAACGTTGGTTATTTATTTCATTTGCCACACCTTTTGCGGCCAGTTTGATGACTGTCTGCGTGAAGAGGCTTATCGGTATCTCGCATCAGCTTATAATTGCCAGCCCTGCTGCAGATCTTTGCCAGGCGATTGGGCGAGACGTGTGCTGCTGCTGCAGCAACCCAACTCAGTTTGGGTTTCCCTTGGCCAGATACGAATCAAAGCCAAGTCGTTTTATTTACAGCCACACAGCTAAGATACTCATAAATAATTTGGCTTATTTACTATTAGCAGACTTAAGGCTCAGCGCATTAAAGCAAATCCGCTATAATCGTTAAGTGCCCTAAGGCCATAAGCACAACAATTAATTGTTCTAAACAAGATTTTCTACGGTCTCCTTTGGTGGCTTGTAAATCATTTTGTTGAACTGAAGCCAAGCAAAAATAGTTGCGAAAATGCTTTCATCTGTAATAAATCACATTAAATTCGAAGGAATTTATTTAATCTAATTATAATTAATTAAAAAACTTGTTACTGGAGTGGAGGTAAGCCACACGCATGTGAGATATGCGATATAATAGATATAAATAAATTTGGCTTAATTTTTAAATGGGTTGAGTATCAGTTCCTTTAGCTTCATCTGGCGCTTGTGGAAGTAACTTTAAAGTTGCATAATTAGAGATAAAAGATGGAATAATCAAGCGCTTTTGGTTAACTCTGCGCTCAGCCCGAATTGATTTACTCAACTCGGCAAGCCATTCTTTACCAGAGTCTGTTTGGCTTACCGGGAATAACAAGAGTTTAGGTGCTGTCAAAGATTTCGGCAAGTGCAGCTGATGAAATATCCAACAATAGCAGGCAGAAAGAAAGAGAGAGACAGAGAAAGAGTGAGGGAGAGAGAGAGAGAGAGGCCTTTGGCGCTTAGCTTTATGAAACTTTAACGAACTCTTTTGGGCTCCATGCACAAGTGGTTTCCATGGCTGTGCGATTGCAGTGTGTGGCCTGGCTGGTTCTAAAATTGCAAATTCAGCACTTGTATAACGCACACACACACACACATACACACATTGAAAACACAATTGCTGCTGTTGGCCCCGTTAGCAGCACTTCCGGCTGTTGCAGAGGCGGACTGAACCGATCGAAATTCGAATTTTGGCCAATGCGCACAATAGCCATGGCTTTGACATTGGCAGCAGCAGCAACTACAGCAGCGCCAGCAGCAGCAGCAGCAGCAGCAGTGCCGGCAGCCCTTGTCCTCGACGTTGCTGTTGTTGTCATCGACATGGCACGGCATTGCGTCAGCGTGGCACCAGAGCATGCAACACTTTGCGCCACAGCCAATGATTCTGCAGATTTTGGTGTGCGGCGTAAATGGGCAAAATCAGAGGCTGCACATTAAGGTGCGTGACAGTCTCTTTCGGCCCGGCCATCAATCATCGATGGGGCCAGATGTGGCAAATGCTGTGAGACAGGACTTTGTTTAATTTGCTTCAATTAGGGCAAACTGTTTGCCGCCTGGGCAAATAAGCAAATTGCATGCAGCACCTAAAATAGCGCTGTGCCAGCAATCAGATAAGCCTTGTGCAACCACAGACAGAGTCCGGATTCAATGCCAATGGATATCAATAAGTTGGCGCCAGTTCAGTCGGGATGCCAGCCAGACAGCTAGTTGCAGAGCCAGAGAGCCAGAGAGTCAGACATTCAGCTAGCTGGCTGCCCTTGAAGTTCTCTCAAGGAAATCGTTTTCAATTACGGCACTGGCTGCTCCGGCAACTATTCCGGCATGCCCTTGCCCTGTCAGCAGGGTGACTGACAGCAGAGGGGGTGTGGGCCGGCCGAAGCCAACAATTGGGCTTATAAATAAATATTTATTCGATTTCATTGGCCAACTGCTGCCTCTGCAGAAATCAGTTTGACGTCGCTGCGCAGTGTGCGATGTGTGTAATAAAGCGCTTGTAAATCAAATCATTCGTTGTGACGACCCCAAAGACCATTAATTGTATCAGTCAGTATCGTGCGCCGCTCTCCCGAGAGTTGCGCCCAAAAGGCATTAACATTGCATGCTAAACACGTTAAGAGCCGGCTGGTAATGAAACAATTAAATAAACTGGCACGCAAACACCCAGATGATGTAAGCAGCGCAATGCTACACAGAAATACTAAACTATTTGCCATATATTACATCTGTAAGGACTTGATAGATTACTCCGGAAAAAACAAGAGAGGGATTTGATATTTTAACCAAGCTAA